TAAAATTCAAAAAATATTTAAATTTAAAATTATCATATTTTTATGAGTGTAAATTCTTATAAATATGAGTTTTATAATTTTTTTTTCTTTTATGTGAGATTTTAATATAATTCTTTTACTTAATTATATAAAATTTATGTTTCATAATTTTTTTTAATTTAATTTTTTGCCTCAAACTTTGAATGATAACATTATTATTATGTTAATTTTATTAAATTTTAATAATATTTATTATTTATTACGTCATCCGGTTCGACCCCGGTTAGACCTCAGGCCGGTTGAACTGGTTGAACCGTGAACCTCTCATTCTTCCGGTTCGTTGTCCGATCCGATTTTCACAGCCTTGATATATACATATATTAGCAAATAATATAACAAATAATATCAGATAATAGCATATACCTTAATATATCTCATCAGAAATTTAATTTATAGAACTCTATGCTACACTTAGAATATATAATTTTCCAAAAAAAAAACACTTAGAATATATTTATGCTTAAACTTATGAATGATTATGTGTCTATTAAAATAAAATTTTCTAATCATAAATGGATAGAATCACATGATAATTTTAAATAGTAATATATTTATATATTTGCTCTGCTTATCATTTGTAAATATATAATTATTTTAATATTTATATGATGAGACTTATTTATTTCCCGCCAAATTCGTTCCATATATTTCGCCTCCGACGGTTTACAGAGCTCGGTTAGGGCATCGACGTCGATTCCAGGATGGATGAGGAGCAACTGATCCCCCACGCCGACGAGCTCGAGTGGCTTGAAACTAACAGCTTTTTGGTCGAATCCGAAGGGGAAGACGACTTACCTTTCATCGCAGAAGAGATCAGGCAAGATGATGGGGATCTTCCATTCTCAGCTGCCTTGCCTCGTGAGCTCATCAATTTCAAATTTTGGTACCTGTGGATCCACTTAATTTCCGATATTGAGTGTATAATTTCAGTCTTTTCCTGGTTGTTTCGCTGCAGGCCCACATGAGAGTCAGGTCTCCAGGAAGCGTAGCTGGTCGGAAGAGGACGAGGGATCTGAAAATATCGGAGAAATTATTAAGAGAGAGGAGAGTGGAAATAAGAGAAGAGCATTGGACTTTCTGGAGAGGGAGCAAGACGAGGATTGGCTCCGGTATTCCCCGCCGCAGAAGAAGGCCCCAGCTGTTCATATTGCATCAGAGAGTGATGTTCTGATGGTGGAACCTCCCGTCAAGGAGAAGATACTGTCCAGATTTGCCGTGGAGATTGAAGGTGATTGCGTACCTGTGACAGGACCATATGGTGACCGTGTCTATGCTAAGATGAAATCTAGTAAAACGGATATTGAAGGCCCAAAAAAGCAAAGAAAAGAACATCTTAAATATGGTTTGTTCGTATTATCTTCTTTCCTTCTTGCATGGACGCACTATATAGCTTTATGTTATGTTAATGGTAATTTTTTTGCTGGAGAAGTAAATGGTAAATTTTTTGTATTATGTGTTGTCGCATTAGATTTTCTCAAATCTAAGTGGTGCAAGAGCCACCCCACCTCCTGGTTCCATGCATAGTATAGTAGTTAGTAGGACCATATTCAGTTGAATTAACTTGCCAATCCAATTAAAATATTTAGAAATTGTAATTATCATATTATTTTATGATAGCAATTCTATATGTATGCTTTTACTTTTGTATTAATGACACTCAACTCACCGCACCACTCTCCCATGCCCTATGCCCTTTCTTTATTATTGTTGTTTGGATATTAGATCCAAGAACATTTAAATCAGCGCAAAAAAAAAAAAAAGACTATAACTTCATTGCTTAGAAAATTATTTCAAAGACCAAACAAACTCCATATAAGAAAAAAATATGGTTGGAATGATCATCTCATTATGATGATTCTAAAGACAAAAAATGTCCAAATATTGACCCAAGCCAAATCAACCTAAATCAGTTAATTTATCCATATCCTCTTCCTCTCTTTTTCAAATGCAAAGGAACATTTTGTGTGCACCCATTTAGTGGTGATGGTAGCCCTTGCCACCCTCAAGTTGCATGGGGGAGAATTATTGAATCTCTCATATGACTTCTTTCCTTAGGTATCAATGTGGAATTTGATTGATTCGTTTCATTTCAAGTAGTTTGTTTGACTAGAGCTGAACTTCTTGGAGCCATTGCAAAATTTATAGGTCTGCAATTCATGTATTGTTTATAATAGGGTTGCCAATAAATGTCCAAAATGACAATTCGACACAAGCCTAACTTGAAAAATTCAGGTTCGGGTTGACCCAATTTAATTTCAAGATGGGTCTAAAATCTTGTATTCACTAAATTTCAAGTTGATCCGAAAATCCCAAATCGACTCAAGGTTCGGGTTAAATGGGTTGGGTTCAAGTTAAACGGATTGTGTTTCAGTTAAATGGGTAATGTTCTGATTAAAAGAGCTACGATAATTCAAAAATTCCATGATTCATATAATAAACATGTTAATGGGTTGGGGTTAGATAGGCTCAAGTAGTTGTTCTAGTTCAATGTTTTGGCTCATATAATAAATGGGTTGGGTTTGGGTCAACTTTATGTCATACTCGAACTTGACCAGCCAACTTGAAGTGACACCCCTAGTTTGTGGCATATGATTGCTGTTGAGGGTACAAAATTTTTTATTTAAAATTGATGACATGCTGTCATAATTTTTTTGGCAACCCTGAATTTGATTCATGAGTCATTTCAAAATTATTCTCTTTAATTTATTGTAATAATTTTGATTTTTCAAATCTTCAGGATTTATGTCTTGAAATATACAAAATAATATATTTGTTTGTTTATTGGAGACATCGTTGATAACGATTCGATTGTGGCTTGTTTATTGGGCCACTCAACATAGGCTGGTTGACTGAGCCAACCCATCGTGTCATGCCTCTTAAGGATTTAATCATCTCCAAAAATGTTGGCTCAAGGAATTCAACTAACTTGCTCGCTAAGATGTAGTTGTAATTTTGCTTGAAAACTCTTCAACTTGTAAGAGGTTTGGTACCACCAGCCACTAGGTGCTACTTGAGGCTTTTCTATTGAGTAGGTGCCTAGATTTGGCTCTTGTAGTTAGTGTTTGCTCGGCTTCCTTGGGTCCTCTATAGTTGGTTCACTAGAAGGAATCTATGAAGGAATATAAATTATAGCGGGAATAAAAATAGAAGCTTTTATATATAGGGAGCCATTTCTTAAATGGGCATTGTTGGATGATTTTAACTTGAGTTCATGCAATACTATTTTTTCCTCAAATGTTTAGTCCAATATTGGACATTAAACATGCCTTTTAACAATAACTCATATTTAGCGCATGTGGAAGTACAAGGTTTTGTGTTTTTTCTCCTTTTGGGTTTTCCATGTAAATAATTTTATGCCCTTTGCTCTACTTTACTGCTCGAATTGTGTGTGAGATGTTGTTGTAGTGAAGGTGATCAAATCCTCTCTATAGATACGACTTTTAATGCTTGACATTTATGTTTCACAACTTGTTGCATTGGCTATCAATATTTTGTTTAGCTTTATACTTGTTACTTATTTTATTAGCAAGAAGGAATTATTATATACTCTCTGCATATTTTAAGTGTAAAGGGAAAAAAGATAGAGGATTCAAGCACTATGACATTTGCATATCGAGTTATAATGCATGTCGTGGCCACAATATTATAAAAAATAGTATAAAAAGTTAAATAATCATTAACAATTTATTGATAATTCAACAATATAAAATATTTTAATGTAAAAAGACATTATCAATGACGTATAAATAGATTATCACTATAGTGACTACACATAATAGATTATCACTATAGTGGAAAGTTGACAAAAGACAATTATATTTAAAAATAGATTATCACTATAGTGGAAATAACTAGATTTGCAAAAAAAACTTTCATAGTTTTTTTTTATGTCCTAATATTAGGCCAAAATACGAAACATAGATTATATCAATGCAGCTTATATTAAACTGATAGTTCTACAAATTAAACAATGAAATAATAATAATCAAACAAACTCAAAGTGATAAAATGGTAATGTAAAATTGCTAGCAATCAACTAAATTAGAAGAAACAAAACTAAGCATTAATTAAATAATAATAGAGGAAGACAATGCTTGAAAATACTAGGATGGAAAGAACATACATGATTACTGGTTAAAAGATGGAGCGCACATACATCTTTGCAAGGCGGTGTTTGGCAACATTGAGGACTAGGGGAAGGAAAAGGAGTGCTTCTAGGTGGACTTAGATCATCATCAAAAACCTTCTTCTATGTGTTTGAAAGACTCAATTCACTCCGGTCTTTATATCTCACATAATATTTGCTTCTGGATGCAAATAGTTGAAGTTCATTAGATGATGGTGATAATGTTTTCTTCGGATTATGATGATGACAATTTTATGGTCCTTTGATTTCTTGTGTTTTCTATTAGCGTAGACTATTATTCTCGCCTTTTATGTTTTTTGGGAATTTGTTTGTTGAAAAAGTTAGAAATTGCTAGAACTGTGAGTGAGCATGAGTGGTTATGTGAGTTGAAATCCTAATATATTTAAAAAAGCTTTAAACAAACAAATTAAGGATAAGTAAATTTAAAATAAATTAAAAAATCAGAAAGGTCAAAAACATAAATTGAGAAAAGGAATAAATAAGATAACGCATGCCATTCACGCTATATATTATGTGTTATTATATGCTCATGGTGCATATATCATGCACTTTTTTTTGTTTCACCTTGCTATGCTAATAATGTGTGATGTGAGCTACACAATTATGGGATATATATATAGCGTTCTATTTTATGCTATTGACCAGTAGAAAGAAGACTGAAATTTAAGTTATCGATTTACGATGTGCCTTGGTATAAAAAACAACAACAAACTCCAAGAGATTCAATACAAAAACAGATTTTTATTGATAGAAAATCAAATACGAACAAAGCAAGATACGATGGTCCTCTTTTGAGAGGACCTTCTCTTCCAAATCCTAGATGCCGCTAGGATCCCTTTAAAAAATAAAATTACATCGCTCTCAAATCAAATTCTGCATATAAACATGACAAAAATCCTCCTACTTATAGCAAACAATAAATAATAAATATCAAAACAACCCTCCCCCAATTCCCTCCCAAATCAGCCCCCAAATTAGCCTTATTTCCTTATTGATTTCCCTTTCATATTTTAATTCAAATAGGAGATCTTTCCCTCTTTAATTATCTCCTTAATTTCCTCTGTAATTATTCTGCTAACATAATAAATTATTACTTTGTTGGGCCCCACAAGAGGTGCCAAATATCTTTGGATTTTATTTCAGATTCCGCCCCCTCCACTGTCGGTCTAACCTCCCTTGGCTGTAGCTGTAACAGTACTTCCCCCCTAAAGACGCTCCTTGTCCTCAAGTTAGAAGGATGGGTCGCTATTCAAGCCTTTCTTCAATTGCTCAGTTAGTGGTTATGCTATCATCTATTAGAACCAAGCTAGAGCTTTTCTCTCCAGACATAGCCATGCGGCCTTAAACTTCTTCTCATGATTTAACCCATTCACCAAGAAATACATCTCCACCTGATATACCCATCCATATGCATCCTCCTCTTCAAATATTGGCATCCTCAACTTCCTCACCCTAAGATCACTACCACCCCAATAATTTCTTCCTCCTCCAGTGTAGCAGTTGTTGTGATCCCTCCATATTCCCCTGTGTATCAAGGGCGAGACTCACACATTTCTTCCATTCGTTCTTGCATGACATGATCTCATGATTCAGATCAACCCCCTCCATCTCCGTTCGCCCACTCCTCTTGCCTGAAATGCCTCTCATAATGGTCGGCCACTCCACCACCTCCACACAATTCCCTCCTTGTTGTCTCCTCTTTTGGAAACCTTGATCCACCCTTTATTGGAGCTCTAGGAGGAGGCTCTAGATAATAATATAAAACTTTATTACTTTTATTTTAAAAAAAGGAGGTTATTGATGGACGAAACTCTCCTCATCAAACCCCTTCCGTCTAATCTCCTTTCCCTTAGATTTGGCCAAGGAAATTCCGATCAAATCTTGGTTAGGGTTAGTAATTGGAACCACCGGTGAAGTTTTGGATTGCATCTTCACGAGTTTCCTTAACATCTCTTCTATCCCTCTAAATCGGCTCTCCATCCGATTCTTCATAGTTAAAAACTTCTCCTCCATGCTGAATTTGAATTGCTCTATTTGGCTTTTCAACGCATCCACTTTCTTTACTGCCATCTCTCCAAAAATCTCACTCTTATACCAATTTGATGCGTCTTGGTATCAAAGACAGCAACAAACTCCAAGAGATTCAACAAAAAAAAAACATATTTTAATTGATAGAAAACCAAATACGAACAAAGTAAGATGCAATGGTCCTCTTTCGAGAAAACTATAGCCCCTAAATCAGCCCTCAAACCCTAGACATCATTAGAATCCCTCACAAAAAAAAATTACAGCACTCTCAAATCAAATTGTGCATAGAAACATAACATAAACCCTCATACTTATAGCAAATAATAAATAATAAATATCAAAACAACCCTCCCCCAATTCTCTCCCAAATCAGATTCCTTTTTAATTATAAAACATCACATAATTAATCAGCCTCCAAATCTACCCTCTTTAATTATGAAACATCTCCTAATTAATCCCCTCTAAATTAGCATCCAAATCATCTGTCCATTTTAATTAGGAAATATTTAATTAATCTCCTCCAAATCAGTCCCCAAATCAGCATGCTTTCCTTATTAATTTGATAATTTCCCTCTTCTATTTGAATTCAAATAGGAGATTTTTCCCTCCTTAATTATCTCCTTAATTACCCTCCTAACATGATGAATTATTACTTTGTTGGGCCCATAAGAGGTGCCAAAATCTCCCTTGATATGGTCTAGCCTCCCTTGGCCTATAGTCGTAACAGTATGTCACAAATTGAGGAAAAAGATTAGTGGAGTATTTACTTTGCTTTACTTATCTCTCACTGCTTTTTGGAAGAATTCCAAGCACAATGGTCTTCCATGATGGAACCAACAGGTACACTCCTTCCCGCAATCTATTTTATAGAAATTAAAAAGTGATGTTTATATTGATATTCTTCAAAAATTTAAGAGTTTCCAATGTCGCACCCTCTACTCTCAGTGGTCTTCCACCCACCCATAAGAACTTATTCTTGATCTATCTTTGTTTTTTAGATGCCAAAGCATTTCCATTTGCACTTACCTTTTCTCCGTACCAATTTCGATGGTCTTGTTTTGTCTTCTTGATTCTAAACTAGTTTTAGTTGCATTGAGATGAACTGGAATCCAACCTGCAGAAAGTTGATGCATGAGCTGACTGATACAATCTGGTGTTTGTTTGACAAAGTTTTGAGAATCTTCTATTTACTTTTCTGGTTTCATGTATATGTATTAGAATCCAGCGAACCTTTCATAATTTTCTATCTGGACAGGGTTTAATAAAATATTATTATTTTTTGTCTCTAAACTGTAAATTGTTCACCATTTTTTGACTTTTATTTGCAGGTTATTTATTGTTTTGGATTGGAATGTGCTTTGTCATTTTCATGCAAAACCAAAAAAAAAATTTACTTCTTTCTTTTTTACTTAACTTGCATTGGTGTTTTTTTGGTCATTTAGAATGTTTATACTTTTCAGCTTGTAATTATGTATAGTTTTATTTTGGTGTTGTTGATGACATTGCAGGACTTCTTTCTGAGCCTATTGGCATCATTATAAAAAAATTGGACCATGAGGCTTTTGCTAAGGTATGATTAGCAACTTGCAGGGTTTACTGAACTTGCTATAACTATAATTATTGAATTGATGGTTGCAGCTATAATTATAATTATTCTGTAACAACTTGCTATAACTATTTTTTCTACAATTAAGGTTTCTATGATAGGAGTGGACAATAAGTAGGTTATACTGAACAATTTTGCCTAACTGAAAATCTGGTTGGTTCGGTTTGATATCAATTCATAATATTATATGAACCTGTTGGTTCACTTTCTCACAAACCATAGGCAAGCCCTATTGCTAAATCATACTTGATGAGCAATGTGACTTAAGGTGTGAAAGAATGAGGCAAGCTTTTTGCCTTAATTGAACTGATGGTTGCAGCTACCTTTTGACAACACAGATCTAAATAGACCTATCCTATGTATGAATTTTTATCAGTCATTTAATCCAAAACAAAGCTTGATCATAAATATTTGACATATAAATGTTTTTCATAGTTTATAATTTATGTTAAACTAAATTGAATCAGCCGAGCTGAAGAAGCCAAATGAAACCCAAGCAAATAAATCTAAACCATAGCTTTAAGTTTCCAACCCTAAGCCAACATATGTGCAAAACTGATCTGAATGGTATTGAATGTTTGACTAAAAGAGCTTTGGTGGTAGGCATTGACGATGTAACGAATATGATGATGTGCAAGGAGCTTACTTCCTTGGCTCAGTTTTAAATACTAATTTTATTCTTTACTTTTAGATCTCATATCTTGAAAACAGCCATTTTTCACATCTTAGTGCAAATATTTTTGAAGGCCTTTGAAGAAAATGATTGCTTATCATGTCATCAAACTCATTCAGAAGTGCCAACTTTCAGTGAGAAGCTTTGGGTAGAAAAGTATGCTCCATGCTCTTTCACGGAGCTTCTAAGTGATGAACAAACTAATAGAGAGGTATACCAAGGATATTGTGGCACAAGTTATTTCTATATTTTTTATTTAATTTAAGCAAGTAGTTATTTAGTCCATTGTTATATAAACTTGAAATTCATTGGCTTCCAACTGCAGGTGCTTCTGTGGCTTAAACAATGGGATTCATCTGTATTTGGCTCTCAAGTTAGGTCGACCACTGATGATGTTTTATCTGCTTTGCGGCGTCATTCTTCACCTGTTCAACATAAGAGGTTTTCTGGTGGCGAAACCTTCTTTGAGCAGGGTAGAGCAGCTCCTTTTACCCGTCAAAGTCTTAAATCTTGGAATGCAGATAAGCACATTGAGAATGTAAATGGTTTTTCTGAATCATGGAGCAAGAAAGCAACGGTGGATCATCCTCTTGAGCAAAAGGTGTGTGATGAGATGCATTTTTTCTTGAAGATTACAACATTTAAAAGAGAATGCAACATCATTCTAACTTGCTATGCTATCTAAATAATAGTGTCTTATATTTCATTTCATGCTAATAATTATCTTTCTCAGTTGTGAATTTTTTCCTTTTAGTTTCATTTAAAAAGTTTAATATAATTACAATTAATATAAAATATGCTGAAAGAATTCTAAACAATTGAATGAAACCTAAGGTCTAACAATAAAAAACAGTGATTTTTAATGGCAATGTTCATACTATATTGTGGGCTTCGAAAATTCACTCCCTGGCCTCACCGTGCCCTTTTTGTTGATGAGGAGAGTTTCAATGAATCAGGTTTCGAGTAAATTTTTATAAGACAAATTGAATTTTAGATAAGACTCTACCTAGAAATATTTCCCTCATTTTGCGAGCACTATGATCTAAGGTTTGGTTTCCTTAGATGCATGCTCCTATGGTTAATTACCTCTCATGATAGTGAGAGAGAACTTTCGATTAAGGCTAGCCGTTGGATAGACACTAAGTATCCAACGTATAATAGTACAAACTTTCATGGTTTGAAAGTTAGATTTTTAGGATTTCTAATATTTGAAATTTATCACCATATACTTAAAGTGAGTTATAGGAGAATGGTGACGCGTTAGATTAAGATCTCATGATGGAATGATTCCATCATCCCAGGTTGTCATGGTCCTTAGTTTACTTAGCCGAAGGAGATAGTTGACCTAACCTGATCAAAGGATCCATGTTGGCAGTCATGAGTTGTGTTGTCCAAGGGTATCTTGTAGTTTTTGGGTAAATATTTGACTAAAGGGACATATTTGAATTGACCTTAGCGAGTAAAGGGTTTTGTGCCTTATTAACTTTACTCCATGATTCATTACTCAAGAGTTTAGAGTCATTGGGGAACATACGGGCTCTGGCTGTGATCGTAATTTAGTGATACTATTTGACAACAAAACCACTTTGTCAGAGGGCACCAATCATAATTGATTACTTGTGCCATTTGGTGGCAAAATCATTGATTAGTGGACACTTATCATATTATTATTAGCGAGAGATAGTTTGAGAATGAATCTTATGATATATCTGACATGATATTCACTCTTTGTCAATTTGGATTATACTCATAAATTATCATCATTAACAAATTGTTGATTGAGGGCGGATGGATTTGCTTTAAGTTTTTAAGATGTTTAATTTCATTTTTTAATTTTAGATTTTTGATAAATATCAAGATTTGAGGTTTTATTGGAATTTGAACCGAACAATTATAAATTTTTGCATTTATGAGATTTTTTTGAAATTTATGTGGACCTTTTTTATTGAGATTTACATTTAAATAGGCCATCATCAGGATTTTAGATAATTCAACTTTTATTATTTGAATCTTGTCAACTTTTCCCATTTGCTCGTAAAGGATTGGGTTCGGTCAAGATTTATTAGGATTATATCTAAAATTCAATAATTTACTTTTTTTTTTTAATTTTAACCCATGCAACATTCTTAAACTTGAATTTTGGAGTTTTGGTTCGACAGTCGGAGCACATGCGAGTATGCTTTTCAGTGCACGCACTTGCACATTTTTAGCATATTTTGTATATTACATATTTGCATATTGTATATGTACATCCTATATATATATATATATATATATATATATATATATATATATATATTGCAAAAACCGTTAATCCTTTTTCACCCTCCTGGTGAAGGCAGAGAACTCTAGACCCTGACTTTGAAGCTATTCTCGCAAGAGCAACTCCAAGAACTCACCAAGGCCACTGAAGGAATCAAGGTGCAAGCTTGCCTGGAGCAACTCCAAGAACTCACCAAGGCCACTGAAGGAAACAAAGTGCAAGCTTGCCTGGAGAAATCACGTGAACACCCCTCACGCACAACCTCACATTCTCCCTCTTTATGCCCAAAGCTCTTAAGAATTCTCCCTTAGAGCTCCTTCAACAGTTAAAAGTCTTTCTAAAAGACTTCATTGAGTTGCTTAAGTATAAGGCTTCAAAAAACCCTAATTTTTCAATTAGGTCGTCATTGTTTGTATAGCACGATCTGGGTTCGTACAATACGATTAGTTCAAAATAGGGGTTCGTTTAGTACAATGGAACAGTCATTCAGACAAATTGTTCAAATTCTACATACTTATCATACAATACGATTGTAAGTTTGTACAATACGATTAGTTTAATTTCACTCTGTTTGTACAGGATGATTATTGGGATGATTGGAAATCGTCTTTGTCGATCGTCCGATACGATTAACATTGTATAGTACATTTAGTTCAAATATCAAGTGTTTGTTAGTACGATCAACATCGTAATGTACGATTAGTTCCAAAAATAAGGTTTTCGTCTAGTACGATCTCTTGGACGATCAAATTTCATTTCTATCAATCGTACAGTACGATTTGAATCATATGGTACAATTAGCCACATTTATTAAACTTTGATTTAATTGATTAATCATGGAGAATAATTTAAATAAGATTTCAAATATCATACAATATGATTCGGATCATATCTAACGATGAGTTCAAAATTCAAATTTTTAGAATACTTATTTAAATTATCTGGCGGCTAGGTTTTTTTGATGGAAACAAATCGTGCAATATGATTTACATCGTATGATACGATTAGTTCATTATTATTAATTACACAATTAGTTGTTAACCCTCTTTTTTCGTATAACTGCTCGTACAATACGATCGTAATTGTACGTACGATTATTTCAAAAATCTCAGTTCAACTTTTTCACTCCCTATGTGTATGTGCACATTCACCAATTTAGCATATACCATTACATGGCTAGAATTAAGAAATATAATAAAGGAAAATGAAAAATACATATACTTTTAAAAGATATCCTATTCTGCCCAAACTTGAGCCTTGGGGCCCCTTAGGGCTGAACGACAGAGAGCAGAGCGCTGCAGTGGTATAGATACGACGTTGCAACGGTGTAAGACATAGGCTTGAGTGCCGCATCGCCCCAAACTGGCGCTGCGAGACAAACTAGATTGTTTTCTTTCTCGTTTTTCTAAATGGTTGCGTCCCTTCGGGTTGTTTTACTTGGCTTTCTCTTGTATTTTGATAGAGTAGACATTGAGAACGGTGTATGCGAGAAGAGAAGTTTTCTCTTGTATTTTGATAGAGTAGACATTGAGAATGGTGTATGTAAGAAGAGAAGTAAGGAGAGAGAGAGAATAGAGATTTGTACTTATTTCTTTCAATTTTCATAGTGGATTTCTTAATGTGGTGTGGCTCCATGATTTTTTCCCCTATTTTAGGTTTTTTTCCTATTAAATCTTGGTGTCTTTTACTTTTCTACTGCTTTTACTTTCTTGCTTGTTTCGTCTTTATGGTGTTTACTCCTCATTTTCCTCAACAGTAGTGCCCATAATCACCGGAAGCGATTGAAGAAATGCCCTTACACTAACAAAGAAGCCCTAAATCACTAAAGTCAACGCTGCATCATGCTCGTAATCCATTGATGACACGTCAATTACGTTTAGCAGCAGAGATGGGCCAACCAGGAGCAACCCTCTCAACGAGTACCTAAACCATTGTCATTACTTCTCTAATTGCCAATTATTAGATCGACTACATTTTGATAGATATGGGGAGTCTAGTGAGCATAATCTTCGATAAAATGAATATGCTTGCTTCTCAATTTATCCCACTGCAGAACACCTTTATGAATTTTCAGGTGAACGAAGGGAAACCAAAGGAACAATCACCCTACTAGTCCCTTGAATTGAAGGAGATCGCCAGTACATCGCCATATTCAACGCTCCGGCTGCCTACAATGCCATATTTGATAGGCCATTGCTGAATACACTCAAGGCTGTGGTATCAACCTACCATGTCACCATCAAATTCTCGGTTGAAGGAAATGAAATTATCGTAAAAGACCATCTAGCCCAGTCATGCACTTGCTACCTATGAGCGATAAGTCTGGCTGACACCTCTGAGGGAATTCTACAACTAGACACAGAACGAGGCCCGTCCCTTGAAGTGATTGAGGCCATCAAAGAAGTACTAGTAGTAGAAGATCAACTTGGTTGATCCTTCAAGATTAGCACCTCTTTCAACAGAGAATACCGAGACGATCTAATACAAACTCTCCGCAACAATCTTGAATTGTTTGCATGGACAACCGTAGCGATGTGGGGCATAAGCAAAGAAATCACATGCCATCGGCTGAACGTTCAAAGCAATGTTTAAAATTGCGTATTCGAGTATTGAGGCGTTTTTCATTCGTGAGGCGAGGCGTAAGCCTCAAGGCGTTTTGAGGCGTAAGCCTCAAAATCAAAAGATTGCGTAAACATAAAATGATAAATTTTTTATATACTAATGAGTGAATAATATAAAACATAAAAAAGCATAAGATATGAAGTGAAATCAAAATATCTCAATAATAAGACAACATGAAATATAGTTCAACTCAAAATTCTATCTTTCCCAAATCCCAGTATTCTTTTCATTACCATATAATTCAAATTTCCAAAAATAAATAGCAATGACATATCACATAAGAACTCATAAGTCATCAGCACTGTCATCAGTAAGGGGTTCTTCATTTGAATCATCATAATGATGAACTGCTCTCTCCCCTTCCTCCTCTTATATAGAGTCTAATGTCGGGCATTTACTTCAAGATTTATGTAAGTTTTAATATATATAACGTGAGGCGTAAGCCTCATGCCTGTGAGGCGAGGCGGGCTTCAATCAAGTTGAGGCGCAAGCCTCATAAAAAGACTTGAGGCGTAAGCATCGAGGTGTTTTTTACTAGAATTGTGCAAAGGCGGGTCTCAAGGCGAGCCTCATATTGCGCAATTTTAAACCATGGTTCAAAGAGGCTCTCGCGCCATCATGTAGAAAATCAAAAACAGTCGCTTTGCTCACCCAACCTATTTGAGAAGAAGTGGATAAATTACTCGCCACTAACTTCATCAGGGAAGCCGATTCGATTGTCAATGTGGTAATGGTTCATAAATCAACTTGTAAATGGAGAATGTGTGTAAATTTCACTAATCTAAACTCAGCATTTCCCAAGGAAGGCTACCTGCTTCCAAGGATTGATGCCCTAGTCTACTCCATGGTGGCTTATCCCTTCTTGAGCTTCGTAGATGTCTTCTCGGGTTACCACCAGATCAAAATCCATTCTGAATATTGTGAAAATAGCGCATTCGTTACAGCAGAAGGTTAGTACTATTACAAAGCTATGCCTTTTGGGTTGAAGAATGTTGATGCGACCTATCAGAGAATGATGAACAAAATCTTCAAAGAGCAAAGGGGAAGAAACATTGAAGTCTACATAGACAACCTTCTTTTCAAAAGCAATTTGCCTGGCTAGCATCTTAAAGATCTTCAAGAAACCTTTCTCACTCTCAGAAAGTACAAAATGAGAATTTGACTCATAATTGGATACAATGGAGAAAAAGGATTCTTGTAGTTGACCTCATGTAGTGGGATAAAGGCTTGTTGTTGCTCAAAATAGCGTGCATAGGAGTTCCCTCATCACGTCGATCACAATGTTGCGAGTTTCGAAGTTTTTAGGCTTATGATGCATTATACTTGTGCACGTTAGACTAGTGAAACAACTGCAAAGTGATAATATCGGTAGTGGCTCAATGGTGGCTAGTGGTTGGTGGGATAGTGACTGAGGAATGGAGAAAGATGTTGAGTTTCATCCGTTTCATAATTTGACTTTTTCGGCCTTATAGGTTTCATGCTTTTATCTCCTTGGTATAACTTTCTAGAAAAAGATAGTGTATTCCAAAATGCTTGTTAGACATGATACCATGTGGTATTGAGTGTCCTATTGTACAATAGGTTGCATGTGGTGTCGAGTGTCCAGTCGTACCATTTTACAATAAGGCGTCCAAGAATACTGAGTTTGTGCTTTTAGCCTAATAGTTAATTGGGGGCTTCGATTTGATTGGAAACAAAAGCCATATGCATCAACCCTACTTAGAATACTCTATTTATGGTAGTCTTCTATATTGCGCACATCAAGAAGCGAATGCCAACCGTTTTATTTTTGACTTGCCTCTTTCATCATTATCATTCTCGCACAAAATTTATATTCAGCAAAAAGAAGTTGCAACATGAACAGCTTTCTCCCCTGAACTAGGATTGCTATAAAATGAATGGAAAAAAAGTTTCCATTTACTTATTTTAAGAGTTTACAACCTATTGTTTGAATAAAAAAACAATGATGATGATGGCCATGTTAACAGTTTCTGTTCCATTGTTTGCCATTTATGTTTTTTCTTTCCATGGATCACCGGAAAAAATCTATTTAGGTTTCTTTTAGAGTTTGAAATACCATATGTTAATGTTTCAGGTACTTCTACTTTGTGGCCCTCCAGGGCTTGGAAAGACAACACTTGCACACGTAGCAGCTAAACATTGTGGATACCGAGTTGTTGAGGTCTGCACATATACTGTTTTTTTATTTGTTTTCCAACACATTTGCTTTGATTCAACATAACTTTGGTGGGTTTAAACTCTACTTTATGTGTATGGACGAGTCATATTGATAGTATGCGAATTCTTTTAGTTGGAAGTATTTTGTGCTGCCGATATACAAAAGCAACTCTTATTGCCTAAAAATGGCTTGCAAATCTGTTGCTCAGATTGGAGTGCATAAGGACCGTATTGTCTGCTTTTAGTCAGTAGTAAATAAAGGACTTGTTTATGGCACTGATGAGAAATGATGAGAAATGCCCTATGCAGATCAATGCAAGCGATGATAGGTCTTCTTTAACACTAGAATCAAAAATCCTTGATGCAGTCCAGATTGCATCTGTCACTGCTGATTCCAAACCTAAATGTTTGGTGAGCTTCATCTTTATACTATCAAGCTATACTTATTATGAGACTAAACGTTTTGGTTTTTAATGTTGTGAAGGTCATTGATGAAATAGATGGTGCACTAGGTGAAGGGAAAGGTGCGGTGGAGGTGATTCTAAAGCTGGTAACACTTTTGAATCTTCTAGTTTACTATGATTTGACGAGAGCCTTTTATTGTATTTCATTGATTAGTGAAACATTGCAGGGTAAATTAAGGTTGGAATAGATATCAGAAGCTTCAATAGATTTTTCCATTAGGCTGGATTCTAATATTGGATTATAATTTCAATGAATGCTTCCTCCTATTGGTGTATATCGGTTAGCTCAACTACATCCTAAGCAAAATAAGCAAATTATATATTTATAACATAAACATTAGGAATGGTAAAAAAATATACTTACATTTTTATTCAGGAGCCATAGCAAGAAATTCTTGCCAAAGAGCATATTGGTGCCTATACAACTTTGCATCCATGACTCTTGATACGTCATCTCAAAATTATCTTGATCGGGCACGAATCTCGAGGCAAAAGCTAGTTGGAAACTTCAAAAATTAATTTCGGGAGCATATGAACTCCGATTTCAGCGAGCTTACAGTCAAACTGAGCGTCTCGGAAATACGAACCCAACGACACCAAGATCAACCCAATTCGAGCCCAAATGAGTCCGAATCAAGGGCTCAAAGCGCTGTTGGAAGGATCAAACAGCAATTTGAGTTACCAAACGGTCTCCGATTTTGACGAGCTTATACTCGAATCGAACGGCTCGACGAGACGAATCCAACGAGCCTAAGATCGCCGAATTCCGACATGATTAAGGCCTTCAAATGCCCAACGAACGGTGCATGATCAAAGGATTCAATATCGGCCGTCCATTCAAAACACTCCCAATTCGCCCTTGATCTTACGCCTATTTACGGGCTATGCCACTCCAGAAAAACTATAAATAGAGCCCTCATTCTACACCAAGGGGGCTTAAGTGAAGAGAGAGAAGAAGAAGAGGAGAAAGGGGAAAAGGAGATTCCTCACCTCCTCGACCACCGCCGGAGCTCTTCATGCCGCCAGAAGACGTCGGAACTCTGCCAGATTTTCAGGAAATGCCGGGAATTTGCACAACTTCCATGTGATGCTGAAATTCTTCCCAATTTGCAACAGAGTTCCCTTCTGACGCTGAAACTCTGCCCAAGGGAAGCTGGAGTTCTCCTTTGTCAACAATAGACGTCGGACTTCTACCCGACGTCGAACCTTCACTCTTCGCTAAGTTTCTACTCGACGCCGGACTTCTACCGGTTATCGGACTTCGCTAGACGTGTATGCGAAGATGGATTTCTTTCTATTACTGGACTTCTACCTGACGTTGTCCTACTGATCTTCGTCGTCAGACTACAGTCCTTCCAACCTCTGTCGCCAGCCGACTACGGTCCTCCTGACTTACGTCGCCCGCTGACTACAGTCTTTCCGACATCCGTCGCCCGTTGAATACGGTCCTCCTGACTTATGTCGCCCGCCGACTACAGTCTTTCCGACCTCCGTCGCCCGCCGACTACGGTCCTCCTGACTTACGTCGCCCGCCGACTACAGTCCTCCGTCGCCAGCTGACTACGGTCCTCCTGACCTACGTCGCCCGCCGACTACGGTCCTTCCGACCAAACGAACATGTCAACAATGACTCTTTGTATTTACATCATGTAATGTACTCCATAAGATGTACATCAAGCTAAGGCCTTCTCCCAAGGAAGGGCCTCATTTGTAATCGACTGCAAATGCTAGTGGATTCGTTCAAACTGGGCTAGGCCCCGTAGTTTTTCCCCCTTTTTATAGGGGTTTTCCACGTAAAAATCTTGGTGTCTCATAAATGCTAGACCCTCTCCCTTATCTGATTGCGTGCCGGATTTTCGTACAATGCTAAGACGTTAAATATGATATTTCTTTACCGCCACGAATACTCCTGGACGCAACAACTCTCTTTCTAATAAACTTAGCACATCTCTTTCCCAATTGTCGGATGGTTGTTGGGGATGGAAGTAAAATACCGTGAAGAAATAAAAAGGAACGTAAAAAAGCAGCGGAAAATAAGATGACACCATGATTTAACGTGGAAAAACACAAAATAAGGAAAAAAACCCATGTAGTCAAACCACACCAAGAAATCCACTATGAAAATGCAGATAAATAAGTACACATATCTCCTCTCTCTCTCATTCTCTCCTTGCTTCTCTTCTCTCGTACATCGTTCTCACAGTTCTCCTGTTCTAACTACTCACTTAACTACTCACAATACAAGAGAAAGTCAAGTTAATAACTTCGAGGGATGCAACCCTTTAGAAAAAACGAGAAAGAAAACTGTCTAATCCTCCTTGAAGCGCTATCGCGCCAATTTTAAACGCTACGACGCTCAAGCCTCTGTCATATGATATTGCGGTGCCAAATCTAGAGTGCTGTGGCGCTCTAATCTCTGCCGATCTGCGCGGGGTGCTTTGGAAATAGCGTCGGAGCACCATGATTTAACGTGGAAAGTAAGAGGACATGATGATTTAATGTGGAAAAATCCAAAATAAGAAAAAAAATCATGTAGCAACACCACACCAAGAAATCCACTATGAGAATAGGGAGAAATGAGTACAGATCCTTCTTCTCTCTCACTCTTGCCTTGCTTCTCCTCTCTTATATCATTGTCACAATACTCCTATTCTAAGTACTCACAATACAAGAGAAAGTCAAGTTAATAACTCCTAGGGATGCAACCCTTGAGAAAAAACGATAAAGAAAACTGTCTAGTCCTCCTTGAAGCGCTGACGCACCAATTTTAAGCGCTACGACGCTTAAGCCTCTGTCATATGATGTTGCGGTGCTCAAGCTCGAAGAGCCAAATCTAGAGCGCTGTGGAGCTCTACTCTCTATCGATCAGCGCTGGGGTGCTCGGGAACACATTACAAGGGCATTGTATGAACAAAAAAAAATTTCGGGTGCAAAGCAACCGAACCCCCACACCCCTTAGAAAGCACGAGAAAGTGGCTTGAGGTTCTAGACAACAGTACAATCTAATTGATCAACACAATCAGATTTCACATGGAATTAACAATTACTTCATAAGCTCAATATTGTAGTGATATTGCATATTTGTTTACATTGTATTGGGTTGGGGCATTCTTCTTAAGGATAGTGGCCTCATAGCACACCATGTCCCTTGTTAACACTTTTAGCGTCCTCTCCTAGAGAAATTATTCTATGTGGAGTCCGGACGTAGCTCTGTGTTTGAACTCCAATGAAATCATGATGTTTATATTCAATAAATATTTTTAGTTTCTGACCCAACAACCCAGCCCAGCAAATTCAATTGGTGCTTGTTTTTAAGAAAATAACCAGCGAAAAGTCCCCAAATTTTTGAGTTTTAGTGGAAAAAAAACTTTTGGTATTGAGAAAGAAAAATGAGAAATAACCGATGAAGATGGAGACTGGTTTGGAGAATATTCATTCTTCGAGGAGATGATGTATTGTAGGTTTCAACTTATTGGTAAATTTGTAACTCCTTACAAGTTTTATTATGTTTTTTGTAATTGTATGTTTTATTGAGCTTAGTTTTTTCAACAGAGAAACCTGTCATAGAAGCAACTATAATAGAACAATTTTTGCCTTCAAGGCAAATCAAGTGCTCAAACATGCCTGAATGCTTCAATGAGTAATTTGTTTTGAGAATATATTCTTCAATTATTTATATGTCGAATGCCGCAAATAGGAACTATTTTTTCCTTCAAAGGCATGCTTCTGAAAACACCCAGTGTAAAATTTAATAGAAAATAATAATTTTTTTAACTTATACGTCATCATGTGTATAGAAGAGATTTATTTTGAATTATGCTTTTTTTAATACATAGTATTGCTTGTGTATTATATTTTAAAAGTTAGGAATCAAAGATATGAATAATTTTTATGATGTTTTCGTTCATTTTGTGATGTTTTTGAACTTGTACATTGTGCATAGAAGATACACTTTAGATACACAGGAAATACATAGTTGATACGTAACAAATACGCAATAAATACGTAGCAAATATGCTACAAATACATATCAAATACACAGCAAATACGCAATAAATATGAAGTAAATACGCAGTTGATACGTATTGAGTGTGTATTTAGTGTGTATTAATTTGTATTTAGTGTGTATTGAGTGTGTGTTACTTATAATAAATATTTTTTTATTACATGTTCAATTCTGAATGTGTATTGAATGTGTTTTAGCTGTAATAAATATTTTTTATTACAAGTTCAATTATGAATGCAAAAAAAATAAATTTATTTACAAGTTCAAACAATGCACATTTGATACATCATTGAGACATAGTAAATACGTAACAAAGACATATCAAACGCATAGCAAATACTAAAAAAATACGCAGTAAATACGCAACAAATTCGCAGTTGAGACGTATTGAGTGTGTATTAAGTGTGAATTGAATGTGCATTGTGTGTGTATTGATTGTGTGTTACTTGCAATAAATATTTTTTTATTACAAGTTTATTCTGAATGTGTATTACTTATAATAAATATTTTTTATTACAAGTTCAATTATGAATTTACAAAAATAAATTTATTTATTAGTTCAAAAAATGCACACTAAATATATCATTGATAAACAGTAAATACACAGTTGATACGCAATAAATACACATTAAATATGCAGTAAATATGTAGCAAATACACAACAAATATTTTATTTCATTCTTTCAAGACTTTCAATTTTTTATCTTTCATTATATTCGTTTCTGCTTCTCGCCCTATTCATAATAGAGACCAATGCTTCAAAAAATTTTGAAATTTTATTTTTGTTAGAACAAGTTATTCGATTTATGTAAAGTTTTTTAAGGATTGGGATGTGATTGTAGTTAGAAAAAGAGAAATTATAGTGAATCTAAATACAAACATAAAATTTTGAAGTAATATACTTTGAAGTGTTTGATTTCAATAAACATGAGATAATTTGAGTACATTTTAACTAAATTTATGTAAAAAATGTTACAAATATATTTTTCTTTATGAAAAATTCAGCCTCGGCCTCCCTTGTTACTTTTCGGGGGAGTTTTAACGGAATTAAATTCTGGGGTAAATTTTGGAAGGCGGATA